TAAAGATATTTTTCAACAGTTTTCAAACAGAGGAAGAATGCAAAGGTGAGCAAAAATGATGAGATTATAAACAGTCCCTCGGGCAAAACATCACTCATATACAGCCCCTCGGGCAAACCTCACAATCACTCGGGCCACTCTGGCATACCTCACCATCACTCTTGCCACTCGGGCATACCTCACAATCACTCATGCCTCCCAGTCACTCAGCACTCGGGACTCGGCACTCGCACTCAGTAGGTACCTGCGCTCACTGGGGGTGTGTACGGACTCCGGAGGGGCTCCTTCAGCCCAAGTGCTATAATCTATACGGACAACTCATGTGCTGCACAGACAACTCGCGTGCTATAATAATAAAGTATGTTGCAGGCGGACAGCCCCGATCCACACTCATCCTCACAATCAGGCCCTCGGCCGATATCAACATATTGCAGCGTACAGCCCGATCCCATAAATATTCTTACAAATCAGGCCCTCGGCCTCACTCAGTCATAAACCTCTCAAGCCCCTCGGGCATTTCAGTAAAACAGAGCATTCGTCCCAAAATATTTATATGCATCAAAATAGAGTCATAAAACTGAGTTATGCGGTAAACAAGTATAAACATGACTGAGTATAGATTTTTCAATCGAAAATCATGAGAGAATAGTAAGAAAAAAAAACCTAAGGGTCCAAACACCACTGGCGCAAGGCACAAACATGGCATTCAGCCCAATTTACAGAAACTCTTTCTAAAACATATAAGTATCATATAGTTTCAACAAAGTATGCAACTTTACTGTTGCTACGGGATGGACCAAGTCATAATCCCCAATAGTGCACGCCCATACGCCCATCACCTAGCTTATGCGTCACTAAAAATAGTAGAATGATACACAATTCGGTGTTTTGTACCCTCAGGACTAGATTTACAATCGTTACTTACCTCAATCCGAGCAATTCTTTATTCCAATAAGCCTTTTCCTCGCGATTCGGCCTCCAAACGCCTCGAATCTTAGTCAAAATAATTCGATACAATCAACACGAGGTGTAGGAATCAGTTCCATATGAAAATACTAAATTTCACAAATAAATCCAAAATTAACTCAAAAATCAACAGTGGGACTCATGTCTCGGAACCCAACAAAAGTTACAAAATATGAACGCCCATCTAACCACGAGTCCAACCATATAAAATTTTCTAAATTCCGACTCCGATTCGGCCTTCAAACCCTCAAATCAATTTTTGAAACATTTCTATTCTAATCCCCCAAATCATGAAATAAGTGCTGGAAATAATGTTGGATTCATGAATAACGGACCAAATCAAGTTAAAATCACTTAACCCAGTCCAATTTGTGAAGTTCGCCTCTGAAAATCGCCCAAACCGAGCTCCCCAACTATTTTTATGTCAAAATGGCCAAAAGACCTTTTATAGAACCTCTGACGTTTTCGAGCGTCACAGATAGCGTGCGACGCTGCCTGTGGTGCTATTTTCAGTACCCTTAAATATCCCAGCGCCAGGGCTAGTGCCCCACGCTACCCTGGGCACTCGCGGTGACGGAAAATCTTTTCCGATATGGAAATGAGCATAACTCTCTCATACGATGTCCGAATTCGACGATTTTTTTTGGTATGGCTCCGAAATTTCAATAAGGATCTAATTATTCAATCAAATATTAATTTGGAACTAATTTTCTTAATGTGATACCATTTATTCTCAAAGAAACGACGTCGGAATATTCTATATTCGATGCTGAAACCTAGCAAATCAAGTCCGATTGACATCAAATTTTGCACATAAGTTATAAATGACATAATGGAGGTATTTTAATTTTCAGAATTGGATTCTTGCCCCGATATCAAAAAGTCAACTCTCCGATCAAACTTTCAACTTAAATTTCTATTTTAGAGACTAAGTGTCTCATTTCACTCCGAAACCACTCCGGACCCGAACCAACTAACCCGGTATATCATAATATAGCTTAAGAGCATAAAGAAAATAGAAATGGGGGAAACGGGGCTATAACTTACGAAACGGCCGGTTGGGTTGTTACACAAATTCTTTTCTAGCAGCAAGCATGAAGAGGCGAACATCAAACCTTTATTCTGGAAGTATCTGTATGCTGCAAAATTAGCGGCTCTAAAATATATTTTCTTTTTATTACGCTTAAACCAAAACTCAATGATTTAACATGATTATTATGTAAGATTATAAGGTTCAAAATTATTTTTCTTTTCATTTGTGAAAGAAGAAAAGAAAAAGGCAAAAGAACAAATTAAAGTAATACTTTAAATTCTTACAGTAACAGTTTCCCACATGTGGTCCAACTTATATTCTTCGATATCCGCCTACGAGTGTACGCGCAATGGACACATAATATTACGATCACGAACTAATATACCTAAGTGTCTCACAAATGTGGCTGAATGCTTCCCAACAGCTCGATTGTGGTAGAGAGTCACGCTCAACTTTTCTCCAACTTTGAGTCCTAGAACATTTTTACATCTGTTCTTTTCTCTCACTTTTTTGCCTTTTCAGATTCACATGGACCTGCTAATTTACAATTTGAGTTAATCATAAAAAAGGGCAAGTCCAATAACAGCAAAAAGATATTACAAGCTGAGACAGAAAAATACTTATTTTGCTTCTTTGAGTGTCTTGCATCACTTCAACTTCTTGAGGGAGGGAAACATCATCTTCTAGTGGATCAAAACCAGGAGGTGCAAGATTCGTATTCTGAGCTAGCTCATTCAGATAAGAAGCCGCTGCATTACGATTTTTACTATTTCTAATCGGGAGTCTCTGTTCAGCATTTACCTTTACCGAACCCAAAGATCTAAAGCTTTTCCCTTACACTAGCACAACCCAAAGCATTATACTAAATAAAGTAAAAAGAATGTTTCTTTACAGCAAAGACAAAACTAAATATTTTTCAGCTTTCAAATTGATCGATCATAAATGACTAGATAATGAGAATGGAAAATGGCAGAACTAGTGCCTAACAGCCAAAACTAAAGAGCATCTAATTGAAATCACCATTTGCTTTATAGTATAGAAAACAAAGGTGATCATGGTGAGCTCTACATACTTGTTCGATTCTTTTACAATATAATAAGAGAAGAACTAGAAAGTCAAAAAGGAGATAGCTAAAAACAAGAAAATCTAGAAAACGAACTACTCCAATTAATTCATACAATGTGGGAATGCCTTCATATGAAGTAAGTCCATCAAGAGATGAGGAAACAGGGAATTTGGCCATGATTTGATTGCTTTGGTAAGGTGGAGCTAATATAAATGATCTTATTGCAGGCGTAACCTTTTTAATCTTACAAGTATCCTAACAGAACTATCATTATCCTTTTGATCATATAGAAAGACAAATACTGAGTATGCCAAATCCAAAAAAATAATTTTTTTTTGTCTCTAGATAATATAATATAATTAAGCAGAAAGTTACAACAACCCAGTATAATCTTACCAGTGGGGTCTGGGGAGGATAGTGTGTACGCACACCTTACCCCTATCATGGGGTAGAGAGGCAGTTTCCGATAGACCCTCGACATTCCTCCCTCCAAGAACTCCCCACCTTGTTCTTGGGGTGACTCGAACTCACAACCTCTTGGTTGGAAGTGGAGGGTGCTCAATACTAGAGCTACCCACTTCTTCATCTAAGACAAAATAGAACAAAGTTCAAAACAAGTGAAAAGGGCCTTTTTTAATAAGTTAAACGGGCTGTAGAAGAACAGCAGCATAATCTAACAAGGCACAGATCATTTAGGTATCCTAACTCATCTAAAGGTAATCTATTGAAAGTGGCATTTACACTACTATATCACATTGGTGCAAACATATCATATGCACAAAACAAAAAGTAATTAACCAATTATTTTAGAAGAAATTTTTGAAGGAAAGAAAGACCTACCACACTGTCTACGGAGACACCCAATATTTATGTGTTCACCTTCTGAAATTCTTCATAATGATCACTGAAAGCAGTGATCTCTACAGTAGCAGGAATAGATAATAGCGAAAAAATACATTAAGAAATAATCGGAATCAGTTCAACTTCATTATAAGAAAGTAAAAGTAGCAGTTGAGTGATTTTAGGATACAAGCTAATATGTCGGGCAAACAAATGTGAAGTCTAGTGAGTAGAAAAAGAGAATCATGTATTTCTTCCCAATATACTCAGAAAGTTTAATTAAGGATAAAGTTAGCAAATTCTTATTTCACACGAAAATTTTACAATACAATCACTACCAAATAGTGAGAAACCTTTTGTTCCAATAATAATATGCAATCAAACCCAATTCCAAAAAATCATATGCTCTACAAAAAGAATACACATAATTGACCTATAACGAGGCAATATTCAATGAAAATAAAGAACTAACTTCTGCGAATTCATCAGCAATGTCATAAAACCTACATGTAATTATAAGTTTGGATCATATGTAATTATAAGATGCAATCCAGTATTTGAAAAATATAGAGAGAGACGATAATATAAAAAAATGCCCAATTTAAAACCACAAAAATAATTAATTCTTATAAAGAACCCTTCAATAACTCCGTAGAGATGCTTTAGAATCAGCTCTAATGAATTTATGGAACAAGGATTAAAGAAATTTTCAATGATTTCCAGTAAATCCTATCATGAATAAGGCTCTGACGGACTGATTTAGACATTCCTTCAACAACTAAAATGCAAATTTGGCAGCACACTATACTTGGTATAAACACAAACATAATTTTAAGAGATTCTTTCAACAACTTCNATTAGCGCCCAATATTTTATATTTAACGTCTGGATTTTATGTTTTTTAAAGATAAAAAATTATCCTTTCTTTAATATTACACTAAAAATTGATTTTGACGACCGGGAAAAAAATTGGTCGTTATAAATACACTTATAACGACCGGATTCAATTCCCTTCGTTAGAATTTGGTCGCTAAAAGTCAATATTCTTGTAGTGCATACCATGATCTGGTGTCAGCGAGTACATGAGCACTATGAAATTTAAGTTGAGAGTATAATGCAAAATACAAAACTTTGTGAAAGATAGATGAGTGGCAACATTAACTAATCAGAAGGGGACTTCAAGGAATGCAAACGAAAACATTAGCTACCTTGAATCTCCAAGAACTGATATTGGTGCCTCTAGCTAACAATCACCTCTCTCGACAGTACCTAGATATGTACATAAAGTCCAGAGTATAGTATGAGTACAAGCGACCACATGTACTCAATAAGTAACAAGCCAAATCATGGGCTGAAAGCAGTGACGAGCTTGGCCATTATCCAACATTAAATACCAATAACCGATAACAACAATACAGAATAATAACAGTAAAGAAAAGTAATTCAAGCAATATTAACTTCAGCATTTTCACAAATAGCAGGAAAATAGGCACACTTTTTAAGAATAGCAGTTAAAGCATGAATTCTTTCACAAAAGTCGTCTAAATATGGTGTTATCAATTTAACAGTGATTCCAAGTCCAACACACTAAATAAGGACAACTAGTACCAACAAACAAAAGGGAAGAATCACAATATGCTACCTACATAACATGTAAACATACTAGAATCAACAATATCGCAGTTTAACTAATCAAGTATGCCATATCTCAGCACATGGGTAGTGCCTGTCACAATTGTCCTTGGACCCTCGTGCTCAACAACTACAACACTCATCACTCTATGGGTGCATGACACAAGTCTCTCACCCAAGCACATATGTGACTCTGTGCGTGTGCCCACGGTTAATACCTGACTCTGGAAGGGCGGGTCCTTGCCCAAGCACTGATCAGATCTAAGTCAATAATCAATATCGCATAGCCAAATATAGGGCCTGGTGCATGCGTCACTCACAATCAATATCACTCAGCCCACTATGGTTTCTGGCACGATTCACCTCATAACAAATACAAAATTGGCTCTATGGCCCAAGTTGAGTCATCAACCTTTCAAGTCTCAATTATTCCATCTCATACTACTCAGCTCAAACTCGTATGACACAAATAAGGGCATCAACAGTATGTGAGATAATATATAAACAATACACAAAGACAATAATATAATACACGGATATAGCATCATGACTGAGAGTATGACTATAATTAAGGCAAATAACTCAAAATAGCAAGAATAACCCTATCAAATCTCAAACAATAAGCACATAACCTAGACATGATTTTTAGCATGAATATGAGCTAATGTAGTCATGCAAGTACAGAAAATATGGATATAACAAGGCATGCTAGACAAACAAGGCACATAATAGCCTAACGTCTACCCGAATCATGAATAGCCCTAGTGTACGCACATATGCCCGTCACTTAGCACGTGCGTTACCCCTCATCATATCTCAAATATCATAGTAAGGAAAAAATACTTTCAAATCAAGTTTAGACATGCTACTTACCTCGAAGCGCGTAAACAATACTCCAAGAAGCCATCTCATGCAAATCGACCTCCAAACGACTTGAATATAGTCAAACATAACTCTATAACATCAAATACGGTTATAAAAATCGATTCCAAGTAACAAAGATTTAATTTTTATCAAATTCCAAATAGTCAAACTGGGACCACCTCTCGTAGCCCAACAAAAGTCAAAAATTTCAGATTACCCATTTGAATACGAGTCCATATATACAAGTGATGTTCGGCCAAAAATGCATATATTTAACTATGGTTGCCTCACATTCTAATAATTTTAATCGTTTATTGAGTATTAATTATATTATTTTATACTTAATATTATATTTTAACTGTGTAGAAATGAAGCGTTGTAAAAATAAAGAGATTTGGAGCAAAATTGAATAAAATACGGAAGAAAAAGAAAACAAATTTAACGAATAAAAAAATAAAGAGTCAAAGGGGTACACCTTTGGGTGTTTGTCCCCCCCCCCCCCCCCCC